ACGGGATGCCAGTCCGTCGCAGGGCACAAGGCAGGGGGACACCCTGGACGGGATGCCAGTCCGTCGCAGGGCACAAGGCAGGGGGACACCCTGGACGGGATGCCAGTCTATTGCAGGTCACACAAGGACACATACATCTTGTCCAGACTAAAGGGTTTAACACAAGTTCTGAAGTCACGTTAAAGGAACACATTGTTTAGTATGCAGAGAATTCACTTCCTTAAGTTAGACTCTCTAAATGGTTCTTGGAATGTCCCGCCTTTTCTGCTGTTTAGCTTTCCTGTGTGAGAAAATCCCCTGATTTCACAGCACCTGTGTCTGTCACGCCCGCATTGGACCAACCACACCTGTGCCAAGCCGCACCGGCACGGTCCCGCCTACACCGATCATCATCCCCGGGAATCTAACCCGCTGCAGTTCATCTCACATGACTGGCACTTAGTGTTTATACAGCCCAATTACTCCAGTAGCCCACTGTGAAGTATTGAGTATCTGCACTGTATCCAGAGTTTCTTGTGGTACCCATTGTTGTGCCACATGTGACCCATGTTTTCTGTTCCTTGGACCTACGATTCTTGCCTGTTTGTATCTCGGGATCTGGCTGCCTCACCGATTGCCTGTACCTACATTTTGTCTCCCGGATCCTGTTTTGCCTTGTTTTAAATCTCTAGTATGACCAGTTAGGACTTCATCTGCTTTTTGACCACTATGTGTGTGTTTCATTAAAACAGCCACCTCTGCACCTGGATCCTCACTGTATAATCATTGTAGTCTCATTTTAATTTTTATAAATAGCTTCAAGAGTGTTTTTGGTAAATACCCACCTTAAAGACATATCTAATACTAAAGGCTTATTGCTTAAAATGTATTAAAAAGGTGTCAATTATTTTGTAGATCCTGATAGATAATGTCTTGTGATATCTTAGTCCAATGTCCACAGTCCACTGATCCAGAGAGAGATACACTCAATAGGCATTGAGAATAAACCTCCTTCCACAACAGGGCATGAAAGAATGATCCACTGAGCAGCCTTCAGACAGCAAGAAGAGTTGTATTGGGGTCTTGAACTCAAGACACCAGAAGCAAAAGGGTGAACATGAGGGGTGAGAAGGTAGGTGGAACAAGAACTAACACAGAAGAATTAACACAGGTGGAATTAACACAGAAGAAACGCTAGCAAGGACCACTTATATGGGCAAGAAACATAAGCACCAACTACAACATCTATAGCACATACAACGACTGAGAGAGCAACAGGACATACTGTAAGCAGACACATATATACATAGATGGCAAGGTTTCAACAAGGGACAGATGTGGGCTATTACCAATACACACAGGCAACTGGGAGTTACAGCTAACAGGTCAGGATCATTAACAAGCACAAAATCCCAAGGAATCAAACACTAAGAAATAAAAGGAACATAGAAGAAACAGGCAAAAACTACACACAAAGAAGGATAACTAAGAACAAGGGTGCAAAACAAGACTCAATACGGAAATACACAAGAAACATATTAAGCATCGAATCAACAGATAAAGAGTCAGGGCATGAAACATCAAAAACCACAACTGTCAGGGATGTTGGATTACTTGGGTGCACACTCAGGACATTCAGCTTGGTGGTGGCCCAGGGAGCTGGGGGAAACATTAGGGACAGTAAAGCTGCTCAACACAGAGAAGTGAATGGAATGGCCAGTGACACCTGCTGGCCAAATGGGAAAACAACGGACAGAATGGGACATGAGAGGGACCAATCCTGAAACCTCTTTACGTTTTCGGTAACCGCTGTATACAATTCAGGTATCCTGTTCCAGGAAGCACAGGGCACAGTTTTAAGTATATTTCACTTTATTTTTATATATCGCCTTTCACAACAGAGTTGCCCTAAGGTTTTATAAGTGGGCGTGTTGTGATACATAAGAATATCATTACAAAATACAATATACAAGAATACAAAAACAGGAAAAAGGAAACATTAAAGCAATCATTGGTAATTTTCCACAAACATGTCTTACATGACAACACAACATTTGGTAAATTAATACTGATTTTAGTACTTCTGAAAAGTATCATAGTGAAAAATGTAAAAAGTAAAAATAGCGATTTTCATATGACAGAAGGAATAATATTGAACAATATGCTAACTAAACCTGTTATTATTTAAAGGCACAGGAACAGGTAAGAGAAAGCTTAGGTTCCGTTGACCAAGTCCCTTATCCCCCAGCTCCCAAGGCTGACCAAGGCCCTTTACCCCCAGCTCCCTAGGCTGACCAAGGCCCTTTACCCCCAGCTCCCTAGGCTGACCAAGGCCCTTT